ACTACTACTACTACTACGGCTACGACTACTACTACCACCTACTACTACTACTACTACTACTACTACTACTACGACTCTTACTACTATTACTACTACTACTACTACTACTACTGCTACTGCTACTAACTACGATTACTATTTCTACTCCTACTACTTCTAACTACGACTACTACTACTACGACTACGACTACGACTACGACTACGACTACTACGACTACTATTACTACTACGACTACGACTACGACTACTACTACGACTACTACTACTACTACTACTACTACTACTATTACTACTACTATTACTAGTACTACGACTAAAACTATTACTAGTAATACGACCACTACTACTACTACTGCTACTACCACTACTACTACTACTACTACTACTACTACTACTACTACTACTACTACTACTACTACTATTACGACGACGACGACGGCTACTATTACTACCGCTATTACTACTACTACTACTACTACTACGACGACTACTACTACTACTACTACGACTACTACTACGACTACTACTACTACGACTGCTACTACTACTACTACTACTACTACTACGACTACTACTACTACTACTACTACTACGACTACTACTACTATTACTAATACTCCGATCATTACTACTACGATTTTTACTACTACCACTACTACTACTACTACTACTACTACTACTACTACTACTACTACTACTACTACTACCACTACCACTACCTACTACTACTACTACTACTACTACTACTACTACGACTACGACTACTACTACTACTACTACTACTACTACTACTACTACTACTACTACTACTACTACTACTACTACTACTACGACGACGATTGCGTTACGACTAGGGGAGCGCCAGCGGCGGCAGTCCTCGTGGACGGATTGCCGAGGGCCTACCACGGCATGGTCTTGGCCGTACGGGCTGGTCTCCCGCATCTGGCCTGGAGTCGGGGTCGCTTGTGCCGAGGGCCCCGCCCGCCGAGAGCCGCTCAGGTCTGACGCCCTCTGCTCCCAGAAGCCCGCGGCGATGGATGCGGCAGTGCAGGGCAGCGGGGGCCCGCTGACTGAGAGATCCGTACGCCTGGTTTTGCTCGGCGTACCTTGGTGCCTTGTGCGCTCAAGCATCCCACCGCCTCCCAGCTCCGTCCGTTCGATGCTCGTTCTGAGGACCTTTCTGAAGCCACTCGTGCCACTCTTGCGTCGATGCTGCGCCGAGCGTCCGTCGACTTGAGTCGAATTAGAGTTGAGCAGATCCGCCAGATGTGCCCCAGGAAGGTCCCCCAAACGAGCATCTAACTTCCACATACCAGTTCCCCCCCCCCCCACACGCCCCCCTTCGCTCCGCCTACCCGTCCGAAGAGTCAGGCCCTGACCTGGCTGGGATGTTCCTCCCTGCCGGGTGGAGTTTTTTGTGGTGATGATGACCATCGTGCCGCGGCGGAGTAGCAAGGCAATGATCGTTGCACGTGCTTGTGAATTCGAGGGGAATTGTTCAGAGTGAGGACGACTCTGGTTGGTACCGGCCAGTACCTCCAGGATGTGATGTAATAAAATGGTGGCGCCGTGCCACGGCTTGCACAGGAGAGGGCATCACGGATGCCCGCTGCTGATTTTTAAGGGCACCCTCCCTACTTCGCAATCTCAAGCACTCTCTGTTCTCTGCTTCCTCCAACTCCACCCCGCCCAAGACTCTCTCGTGCCAACACGCCCCGTTGCTCTCCTCCCTGTGGAAGGCCAGCGTGCCGTGCAGCAGCGTGCAGGAAAAGAAGTGCGGCCGAGGGGGCAGGGCATCGACGCGAGCGCGTGCGTGCGAAGGTGCACGTGCAGGCGGCCTCTCGCCGCTCCCAGGATTGCTCGGGCCACGACGCCCGCGGGGCCGTCCGCGCAGCCGGGGGGGACTGGGGGAGTCTCTCAGGGCTCCTGTGGCATCGCTCGGGCGTGTGCAGCTCTTCCTCGGCGACGACCATCGGGGATCAGCAGGGACCATCATGCGAGATCTAGGCGCGCGAAGCCGAACAACAACTGCACGGGGAGTGGACGTCCGAGCGATGGCAAGGGCCGGGAAGGTCGGCGGCGCGCCCCGAGGGGTTGGAGGCGGCAGGGGCCAGGCCCTCGCAGGAGCAGGCGGCGGGCCCCGAGGCCCTCCAGCCTTCTGAGGAGCCCTCCGCGGCCTCGGAGAGAAGGGCTCGGGAGGCTTCTCTCGGGCGATCGCAAACACGGATTCAGGGGGCGTGGATTAGCGACGGGTCCCGTTGCCATGGGGAATCGCACACTTCCGCCGCCGGACGAGGCGGCACCGGCCGCAGTTTGGGGAGGGCACCTCCCCCGATCCATGTTTGCGCGCCCCCGATTTCTCGGGAGGCCAGGGGCTTCCTGATCCAGGCATGCTCGCGTCGTGGACAACATCCGGACGGGAGACGTCTGGTCGTTTTCGGCCTCCTGGGGGCCCCCGCCAGGCCCTGGGGCAGCCAATGCACGACTCGGGCGGAAAAGTCGTCTCCGGGGAAAGAGGGTCGCGACTTCGGGGCACCGCGCACCGAAAATATCAAGACGTCGCATGCCTTGGGGAGCCTCCCGTGGGGGGGAGGGGGGCCGCCCTTTCTCGACCAGACGTACTGCGAGTGACCTTTCGCAGGAGTGACCTTTGGTGCGGGCCCAGCGCAGCGTCCCTCCCCCCCGATCGCTGAGCGCGGAGCGGCAGCAGCGGCCTGCGCGCCCAGGTTTGGCCCCCCACCCGCAAGTGCCCCCGTTGGCTTGGCATTGCTCGGGCGTGTGCATTTGTTCTCGGCGAGGGCCATCGAGGCGCATCCTGTATCATCTGGCGAAACATACGGGGAATGGACGTCCGAGCGACGGCAAGTTGAGCCGCGCGCCAGAGGTCCCTCTTTGCCTCGTGGGGGTCGCTCCTGCGTGCAGCGGGCCCTCGGGCGTCCCCCCCCCTCGTACGGGTGCGCCGCCGAGAGGGGGGGCGAGGTCCGGGCCCGCGCGCCCGGTTTTCGTACCGCGGGGCGCAGGTGCCGCACGCGTGGAGAGGGAGGTCTCGCCGTGCATCCCGACCTCGAGCGCGCTTGGCGGCGCGCCGAGCGCTCGGGTCAATGAGATCAATGAGACCACTGGTGCTGTCAGCGCGTCCGCAGCCGAACAAAAAGACCGGGGGCATCGCATCGTCACGGCGAGCGTTTCGCTGCTGTTGCTGGTGCTGCTCGTGTCAAGCATGTGACAAGGGGGCCCTCCTTCGGAATCCGAGCTCCTGGGTTGCTTCGCAGTTTGCGCTTGGTAAGGGCACGCCGCTCGACAAAGCTCTCGAGACACCCGAGGTTTGCAACGAGCAGCAGAATCTGAGTCCTCCATCTTGTTAGCTGAGGGAAACGCAAAGAGGTAAACAGGGACATGAAAACAGTCCCACTTTGAAAAGGATCTGCACTGCAGACGTGCAAGTGTCGCACCATATCAAAGTTGTTGTGATGGAATTTTGCGGAGGCTTCAAGCGTGCTGCCACTGTTGCAAGGGGGGTGCTCCCTCCGTCGAACGGTTGCACAATGGGGAGCGGCGAGTCGTCGAAATGCGGTGATGTTTCAATCGAGGGCTGTATGTTGAAGACGATCCTCGATCTATTCTTGTACGTGTTGGAAATGTGTCACAGCTAATGTGCGCGGCCCCCCCAGGCCAGAGCCGCATTTGGGAAATCACTGGCCCTCCATCCGTGTAACTGTTTGGAGTTGTTCAAACATGTTTCGCGGCGCTGAGACGAGAGCCGCATCTTGGAGACGTGCGGCAATCCATCCTTGTTCTTTTCGGGTGTGTTAGCTGAGGTTGTGAGCAAGTCTTAAGCGTAACGCTCTGGCCAGGCCTGTGGTCACTTCTGGTGGTACGACAGGGGGGATCTGTTTCTAATGCGACGGGGAGGAAGGGGAGCAGGAGCAGCAGGAGTGGGGGAGGAGGGGTAGCTGGGGGGAGGGAGAAGGGGGGCAAAAGGAGAAAGGGGGCGGAGGAGCGCGAATGAGGTGCACGAGGAGTAGGAGAGGTGAGGGGGGTCCCCCCTCCTTCCCCCACCATCGTTCTCGTTATCAGTTCTCTGGCTCGCGGTTCGAGGATGAGGCACTGGCGTTTGCAGTGGACCGAACATCAATGCATCAATGTATGGTGCACCTCGCACTCCTGGAGGAGATGCAGAGCAGCTTGCCCGCGTGTGAGTTTCTGATGGTACTTGGGTGTGATTTCCACCCCTCCTGAGTGCGCTGTGGGCGATACATTGGGTCGGCTTGGAATTGTCGCGTGGCGGACCGCAAAAAGAAGTTCGCATTAGCCTCAGACACTGTGAAACCGTGTTTGTCGCGTGGCCAAAAAAAGCGTGCAGCCTGTCACAAAGTTGTATGCAATTCCGGTTTCTCCAGAACACAGACGCCGCCCAGCACGAATTTCACGAATCTCGAACGTCCCGCTTTGGTGAGGGTTTGGGTTTCTTGCGAGATCCGCGTGGAGCGACACCCGACAGCCATCATTCTGACAATGTCTCGCAGTATGTGATTACATTGGCTCGATGTCGCGTAGACTAGTCATCGATGCTTGCTCTTTGCCATCGCTGCGACAGGTAGGCTTCCATGCTTGGCTCCAAGCTGCGCTCACATTGTATCCTACTCCCTGGCTGGTTACGTATTTGAGCTAGGTGTCAATGCACGGAAGCGGTCATACGCACACGAAGACGTCCTTCACAACCCCATTTGGGCGAGGGAGGGAGGCTCAGATCTGTGTGTGCAACGGACGTCTCACGTCCGTCCAGGCATTAGGCGAGGGGGAAGAGAGGGAGGATAGGTCTGTCGTCCTCGTTCCATCCCGTCTTCTGTTTCGTTTTCAGCGTCGGGCGCGCCGCCAGGTGTTGCTGCCTGGCGATCTTGCAGAAGCTGCCACCGCGGTGGTTCCGCCAGCGCCAGGAGTGCGAATCTGCTTGCTCTTTTGTGGTTTTCGCTGCTGCAGACAGTGGCACGGGACGCCCTGCACACATGCAATCCACTGGAAAGCCGCTGATGAGCCTGTGGAATCTCTCAGATTGGCGAGGCTGTCGGTCTGATGCCCAACTCTTGAACGTGAGATGTTGTCCTTCCTTGCCACGAAGCGTTGGTCGGCCCGTGCGCCAAGACGCCGCCCTGCCAAGTGCGGGGCACCCGCGGAAGCAGAGGGCGGCAAAGATGCGGCCCGTTGCGCCGCTCCCAGGGTGGGTCTGGGACACCTCCACGTGCCTGAGCGTGGCCGCGGGCGAGACCGTGCAGGTGCTGGCGGTAGAAGGCAGCTCTGCCTGGCACCTCGCAGGGAGAGATGGGGGGCAGGCGAGAGGAGGGCAACAGACTCAGCACGGGCCGCCGGCCTGAGCTTCGGTCGATTTGAATGAAGCGCGCCGGTTCCGGCCAAATCCGCGGCCCTGGGACCTCGTGTTCCGCGCCCTCCCCCCTGGGAACAGCGCCGGCAAGTGCTTTCACTTGGGATGGAACGCGGCGGTTTGCCCGCAGGGCTCTTCGCTGCGATGTTGGCACGGGCCTGGTCGGCGCCGCAGCCAGCCTAGCCGCTCTGTCCACAATTCCTTCGTACGATCTCGCGCAAGGTTCCGCTCCGTATGATACGTATGGCTCAGTGCGGCTCCGTCGCAAGTGCTCTCGCGTCCGGCTGCTTTGCTCAACGTTGCTTGGTGCGACCTCGCTACACGATTCAAACAGTGATGAACCGTCCTGACTTGCTTACAGGCCCACCAAAGAATGTTTGAATATTCTTTTGTGGTCTGCACGAAATGTTATTAGTGCGTTTCTCGCTGAGGCAGTCTTGTTTTCAGCCATCGTTTTGGTATGAGAACACTGTCTGTTTTTTTACATGGTTTGTTCCAAGAGCATTTCGTGGTAAGCCTGTGGGAATGCTGGGACGGTCGGACCCTGCTCAAGCTACTCAGCTCGGGCGGGTGGTAATGGGGGGTGATTTCAATGGCGGGGTGAAGAAAAGGGGCCCCTTCCCTGATTGCTCCAAGAGGTGCCCTACAGGTCCCCTTTTCTGGTCCTTTTCTTCACCCCCCCCAATTGGGTCGCCCCCCCGGAACACCCGCCCGAGCTACTCCGCATTGCCTGTTGCGGCTACGCCGCAAGCGTCTACGCCGCCGCTCTGCCAGTGCTGCCTTGCGCGGCTCGGCGACAAGCGGTCACGCCGCTCTGCCAGCGAAGCCGGGTGCGCCCTCGGCGCAATCGCCCTCGCCGCCTTTCCACGCGTTGCTCGGAGTGGGGTCGCCGCGAGCGTCCTCTCCGCCGTGCTCATCGGGGGGCGATTTATGGCCACAGCCTCCGCGCGCGTACCTTGTGCCGTGTGCCGGATCAGTTTGTTCGTCAGTGGGTGTACAAGAATCGTGTTCCCAGGGATGCCAATTCTGTCCCAAGCCCCTCTCCACGGTCTTACGCTGGACCAGCTTGTTTGCCAGGGTGGCGTGCAAAAGTTCTGTTCCCAAGCTGGTCGGGAAGTTTGGGCCAGCGTGTCGCTTCGCCTGTTGTGGCCCACCACGCTTCGGCGCGAGGCGCTATCCACTTCCCCGTGCCCAGGCGTCAACGTCCCGCGAGGCGGAGCGCCGCGCTGTCCGCCTGCAGGGCGCAGCGTGTCGCCCGGGGCCGCCGTGGAGGCACGCTGTCCCAAAGTTCCCGACCGCGGCCCTGCCCGGCCCCGTGGCTCTGCTCGAAGCTCTATGGCACGAGCTCGGCGAGAGCGACCTCGCCGCTTCCCTCTATCGGCCCTGCTTGAGCGTGGCCTCGCACGCCGTGTGGCCCGGCCCCTGTCCTCTCGAAGTCTCGCGGCTTGCGCGGGGTGTGGGGATCGAGCCGCGGCTCGCTCGTGGGAGAGCTCCATGTAAGGTGGGCCGAGATCTTCGGACTTGACGTAGGGCCATAGGGACAATGTTAGGAGCTCCGATGTAATGGTTATGTTGTTCATGTCTGCCCCTGTTACGGTCGAAGAGGGCGGGGGATGATACCATTGTCTACAATTGTCTCAGACGATTCTACGGCTTCTCCTTGAAGGCTCCACCGCTACGCGCAGAGAGCGCGAAGCGACATGCACCACACTTCGGTTGTCCAGACTGGCGGTGCCGCACGTTCCAAAGGGAGCTAAATCGTGATGCACGTGTTGTATGTCGCCTTGGCGCACATGCTTGAACGCACAGTCCGCGCCAAGAAGCGAATAGGAACCGACCCCCCAAGCAGGTGCCCCAGGAGCCCTCTCCACGGGGACCCCGTGCGACAAGGAGCGCCCGGCGCCGAGGAGTGTCCCGCATGATCGTCTCACCGTCAGACTCCTTGTCTCCAGGCCGCCTGGGTCAGATAGGAGTTGGAGGATTGCGCCGCATCCGCGATGCATCGGCAATGTGGCGCGGCCTAGGGCGCGATCTGCACTGTCCCGACGTCGCCGACGCACTGTTATACGACCGCAGAGGTCCCGACGCCTTTCTTGTGGCTAGTTTTCTGTCGTGGACCCGTTTTGAGGCCCTGGCCAGAGCCCAGTGACGGTCCCCAGAGGCCGCAATATAGGAAAAACGCAAGGATTAAACAGCCACATCGTCGGAGATTTGTGCACTTCCCACGCCCACGCCTCGTACGATATTTATTGATCTGTGAGCTCCCTGCCTGCTTCAATCCTTTTGGCTGCGGTCGGATTCCAGCCGCGTTCGCAGGACCAGCTCCGTATTTCTGGGACTTCCTAGGTTGGCAAGACAGACGGGCAAACATTTACCACTGATAATTTGTAAGAAAGGGATGCCCGTAAGCTGTACCGCTTTCTGTCTCTCATTTCTTTTACAGACATGCTCTCAAAGAGGGCCCCAGAAGGGCCATCGCGAGAGCCTCACAAGGCCATCTGGGAAACTTACCCTGGCTAAGTCGCTGCACCGAATCACAGTGGCCCTTACTAGGGCGCCCTGTGCACGGTTCGTGGATACGGTGGGGGCGTGTCTTGAGGAATGTGCCCCGGCGGCCCCAGACCTTGGAGGGTTCCTTATCCTATGAGGCCAGCGGTGATGTCTACGGTCAAGCGTGCACTAGTGCTTCACCAGGTGTGCAGACCCTGGACCCCTTATCAAATGGTTGGCCACTATCGTTGATCCGACACCTATCCCCACCCCCATCCCCATTCAGGCCCCCACCGTCCCACTACCCCAGTTGTGGATATACCCCCCGAAACCCGAAGGAGACGGCCTACATCGCCATCCAGGGAGGGGTAAATCGGCCAGCGGGGCCCAGGCCACGCCCATGGGGATAAAGGGTGATGCTCAGTTGGTTCCTGATCCAATGCCCTCGCCGTGCCTCTCAGCGCTGAGGTCTGTTGGCCGCCCACCTCCCGACCCTTCAGACCTGACGTTGCAAATCAAGTGCAACATCGCCGACAATCACCACCCGAGCCGGGAGGCTCAGCCGGCACAAGGCCCGGGTGTCGCCCGCGCTTGGGTCGGTCATGACAGCCTGTGCCCTCACCGAGGGCAGCACGTACGAGCTCGGCCACGGTGTAGCACTGCGCGAAGCCGTACGTCACCCCCTGATGGGACTGTTTTCCACCACCACCACCACCATAAGTTGGAGGGGGGAAGGGGGACGAGGATGAGGAGGAGGAGGAGGAGGAGGAGGAGGAGGAGGAGGAGGAGGACCCCCTCCCCCTCCAACTTATGGTGGTGGTGGTGGAGAACAGGCCCATCATCCCCGGCCCCCGACCCCATCCTTCTGCGACGTTTCTCGAGCCGCACCGACCTGTGAGGGTCCCAGGGCCGACGCCGGGGCGAGACCGCGCGCTGTGCAGCAGCTGCGATGCCGAGATCTCGCGGCCGCCCGCTCCCCCCCCCCCCGCCCGCATCCCCCCCCGCCCGCCCGCCCGGGCCTGCGCTTAGGTCGGGCGTGTCCCCCCACAGGCGGCCCTTCGACGAAACAACAAGATTGGCCCGACGAAGGACCCGACCCTATTCAGCTGCGAGTACCGCATCGTGGGTACCGTTCTCGGTGGAGCTCCTTATGGGGCCACGAACCGCATGAGGGGTGTGCCAAAATGGGTGGCGGTCCCTGCGTGCGGCCTGTGCCACTGGGGCCTTCGGTGGAGCTCCCTGTGGGGCCACGAACTTTGTGAGGGGTGTGCCAAAATGGGTGGCGGTCCCCGCATGCGGCCTGTGCCACTGGGGCCTTCGGTGGAGCTCCCTGTGGGGCCACGAACTTTGTGCCACGAACTTTGTGAGGGGTGTGCCAAAATAGGTGGCGGTCCCCGCATGCGGCCTGTGCAGGCCACGAATCGCGTGGGGCCTTCGGTGGAGGCCACGAACCGTGTGAGGGGCGCGCCAAAATGGGTGGCGGTCCCCGCGTGCGGCCTGTGCCACTGTGGCCTTCGGTGGAGCCCCCTGTGGGGCCACGAACCGTGTGAGGGGTGTGCCAAAATGGGTGGCGGTCCCCGCATGCGGCCTGTGCCAGTGGGGCCTTCGGTGGAGGCCACGAACCGCGTGGGGCCTTCGGTGGAGGCCACGAACCGTGTGAGGGGTGTGCCAAAATGGGTGGCGGTCCCCGCGTGCGGCCTGCACCACTGGGGCCTTCGGTGGAGCCCCCTGTGGGCCACGAACCGTGTGAGGGGTGTGCCAAAATGGGTGGGATGATTATGATAGTGACGATGAGGAGGAGGAGTGAGGAGGAGATGATGCGGGGCGCTGTCTCTTCAAAACGGGGACCCAACACCACAGGATGGTTGGGAAATACAAAACAGATATTCAACAATATGTTCAAATAACGTTTATTGACAACAAACAAAACTCGTACCCAGACTGGTTGTGTAAACTATGTTTGAATTCTTCTCGTGTAGAGGGACAGGCTAGACTTAGCCTGCGCCGCCCCGCCGCGCAGACGGCTGGGCCTACGGCCGCGCCTCGCTCGGCGCCGGCTGGCTGCCCCTCGCGGCGCTGCGGTGCGCGCCGGGGCCCGCCGCACGGCAGCCGGGGAGGCCCGCAGCGCAGGCGGCGCCCTCTTCCTGTAAGTCGGGCCTGTCCCTCTACAGGAGGAAGATTCAAAACTAGTAGAAAATCATCTGAGGACGATTTTTGGACTATTTTCGAATGTTTTTTATTTATATGTTTTCATTTGTTCGTCGAAAATCCGGGGGGACATGCCCGACCCAGCTTTTCCTCCGTGGAGGCAGGAGGGCCCACAGGGATGCTGCCGACGCATCCCCAAAGGCATCCACAATGCACAGGATGCGACATTCGCATTTTGCGCAGGTTCTCGATGACGCGTCCTGTGCGTTGTGGATATGCGTTGTGGATACGTTGTGGACGCGTCGTTGGCACCTCTGGGAAGCGACACCACCACCACCACCAGGGGGGGCATCTCCAGCGAGGCTGCCCTGATACGCCCGTGTTGAAACGCATCACGTGCCGTGTTCAAAACTTCCATGTTAACACATTGCGTGTTGGTTCGGCATTAGGTGGTCCGCGTCTTGGTGAACGCATCGCTCCAGACCGACGTTTTCAGTCTACGTGATGAGCTCCGTGTCAATACGCTACGTATTGCGTGTTGCATATCGGGGCAGCTGAGGCGGCGAGGAGGTTCACGATGCCTCCCCGAGCTGTGGGCGAGACTGGTGGTGTCCCCACCACCAGGTGGGCTCCCACTGGCTCCTCCAGCGGGTGGTCCCTGGTGGTGGTTTGTTCTTATCTCCCATGGAGAGGCTTTGGCCAGCGGCGCGCAGAAAACACAAGCCAGACATGCTCGCTTCGTGAAGACATCGCGACGGGTGATTATTGCCCTGCTTCGGTCTTCGGGGCCCTCGCCGAGCTCTGGAGCCGTCAGACATTGACTTGGGGTGAGAGCCTTGGGGACATGGTCGGTGTCAGGACTTCCAGGGACCTGGTACGGAACAAAACTGCCGGGGTCTCAAGCCCGGATAGCAGGGCGCCACAAAGGCGTGGCAAGGCCTGTCGAAGAATTCTGGAAGGACCTGGAGAGGGCCTCCGAAAGACCTTCTGGCGAGCTTCTGGGCACGCGCAGTGGGAAACGCTCAAGGAAAGACTCTCGGGACCGGCTGCGACCTCCGGCAAGGCGCTGCGAGGGGTCCAGCCCGCCACCAGGACGATCTCCAGGGCGACCCTGCGGCTCCGGCTGCTCAATCTGAAGCCCTCTTAGCTTTCAGGGAGTTGTCCAGGAGCTTCGACACCGGATGTCTGGGACGACGTGTTACTCTTCAAATCGGAAACAAAATCTACATGACCAGAGGCGGGCCGTTTTTCAATCTTACGACTTTTCGAGGGTCGGGGACGACGTCGGGGCGGCCCAGTGTATACTTGTTCCCCGCTTTCGCGGGGAAACAACGAAACATGTATACATCAGGATCCCGTATACACCAGAATCCGCGTTCCTGTGCGAACTTCAGCGCAGGGTCGGAAAAAGCGTCGGTGTATAGAGTTCGTTGCCGGACTCAAATCCATGACCCCAGGGACCCCTCCCCCTCCCCCCAGGGGAAGTGCGTTCGTCCGGACGCCTGCTGCGCTCAATCTGGCACCCCGCATTCTGGTTTGCGTCCCCGGCCGCGCTGCGCGATCGCCAATGCTGCGACAGTGCTGGTCTCGTTATCCAGCTGCTTGCGGCAAAACCCGTTACCGTGCCAGGGCAATAGCGCAGCGTGGATGAGCTTCCGTAAATGACATCCATATTCGAGCTTCTCTGGGGCCTCTTGGTGAGGGCACTCCGGGGAGGCCTTTGCTGGTCCGCAGGGGGACCTTTGGGAAGCAGCTTGGGTCTCTCGTGTGCGGCTTGGGGCCTCTTAGGGGCTTCTTGGGGGCATGCTGGGGATCTTGGAGGCAATCCTGTAGGAATCAGCTGTCAAGGCTAGCTCGAGTCCTCTCTTTTGGGCCCCTCTCGGGGCCTCCTTGGGGCCTCTTGGGTCGTCTTGGGGGCATGTTGGGCCGTCTTGTGGCCCCCTCGGGCCGTATTGAGGGCCTCTTGGGCTCTTGGGCCGTCTTGGAGTTCCGCTGGGCCGTCTTTGAGCCTTTTGGTGCCCTGTTAGTCTGTCTTGGAGTAATATTGGGAGCCTGACCTTGGGCTTTCGCAGAAGGGACCAGCATGTTAATCTATTCCCAAACCCTACGGAACAACAGTGTCTTTTGTTCTCGAATACCTCTCGTGCGTCCTCTGAGAGCTCTCTGGTGCCGTCTTGACGACCTCTTGGGCCGTTTTGAGGCCATCTTGAGCCATATTGGGAACCTCTTAGCGCATCTGGAGGCCTGCTGGTGCAGGTGTGATCGCCTTGAGACCTTTTTGTTGTCTATGGGCGAGCCTGGCTGTTTTGGGGCATGTTGGGGCTGTCTTGGCTGCATGAGTTTTGTTCATGGTTGTTTGGGATGTTTTTGGTGCGTTTACTTGTGTTGGCTATGTTGGTCCCATTGGCCAGGGTCTCTCAGGAGACAATGCTTTTCCCATGCAATGAATAATGCTTGTGTTAGGTCTCTGTGTTGGGTTTACTGCTTTTGTGTGTTCCCCCCGTCGAGGATGGTCTCTCTGGCAAGCCACTTCTCCCAGTCGCTATGGCAGATGACCCTAGATCAGCCGCGCAAGATGTGGGAGCGCGAGTTCGTGGACAGGGTCGGCCTCGAAAACGCCAGAGGAACCTTACCGGACCGCAGAGCAGCATTCCAACCCAACGCGCTCAAGGCACGGTGGCGGATTGATGGCCCCGGGGCCTGAAACGGCCCCCCGAGGTCGATGTGTAAATTGAGCAGGGACCGACCGTCCCAGCATTCCTATAGGCCTACCACGACATGTTCTGAGAACCCTGAAATGTTCGAAGAACAAGAACAGTGTTCTTAGAACATAAGCCCGGTGTGTTAAAGCAAGACAGCCCCAGCCAGAAATGTTCTAAGATCATTTCGTGGAAACCACAAAAGGTTCCCAGAACATTGTTCGGTAGGCCTATAGGCACGCCAGGACGCTTCGCCACTGCTTGAGTAAGGAAATTCGGGGGGACTGGCGCAATCACATCGTCGGAGCGGTGGGAGGTGGCGCGGGGGGGCGGCCCCCTTCTGAGAAGACGCAGGGGGCGTCTCGGAAGACCTCCTGCCTAGTAGGAAGAGGCCCTCTCGGATACCTCCGATCCTTGCGAGGAAGGCCTCTGTCTTCTTAGAAGCCCCCCGCCTAACCCAGGCCTCGTGCGCCCGGCAGGGTACGGTAGGTTCGCGTCGTGTCGACCGGCGGGGACCCCGCCTCGGACGTTCCAGGTTCAACGCCGCCAGTGGCCCAGAATCGGCCTACGTGGAACGATCGGGCGATCGAGCCGCCGATCGTTCAAGCTTGAACGAAAGAAACCAACGCCGGGATCGACACGACACGAACTTGCCGTATGGGAGGTGCATCAAGAGAAGACCGCGCCCAGACATGCGGCGCCGCGGAGCAGCAGACCCGGTCAGTTCTTCTGTGTCTCAAAGCTTGTTCGCCCTCTTCCGCTGGCCCTCCCGGGGGATGGGCCATCTTGCGGGTGTACACTTAAGTCGGGCCTGTCCCTCTACAGGAGGAATATTCAAAAATAGTGGAAACAATGTCGGGACGATGTTTGGACTATTCTTGAATATGTTTGGAGTATGTTGGTGATGTTTTTAGTTTTTGTCCGTCAAAATCCCCCTGTAGGAGGACAGGCCCGACCTAAGTGTCACACGCCGGTCGATAAAGGCAGGCATATCTAGATTCCCATGTCCCAGTCTCGTTTAGCCGCCTTCCCGCTTCAGGGGTCGAGCGGTGTTCCCTCTTCGCACTGCTTCAGCGGGCGGGCTGAAGCCCAATCTACTCTCAGCGCCTTACTGCTTCATGTTTCTGGCTGCTTCTTCCGACCGACGGGTATTGGAACAGCTTCAGGCTTCTAGGTTTCTTGGGGCCATTTGGGGGCCTAGGTTGAGCCATCCTAGGCGATTGGGGCGCGGTCCTGGAAACTGTTGGGTCCACCTTGGGGCCGTCCTGGGCAATCTCGGGGGCTCTGGTGGCCGTCTTGTGGGGATAGTTGGCCATTTTGGGGGGTCAACCGTGGGACGAACAACAAGGACTGAAACCCGGTTGTTCCATAGTTGCCTTCTCGGCGTCTTGGGGTCATTCTTGCTATTCTGGAGTCGTATCGGGGCCATCATCGGCCGTCTTGGGCTCTCGGAACCCTCCTCGGAGCCTCTTGGGGCCGTTTTGGAAGCCTCCAAAGGACAACAAAATAACCTACATTCATTTATTACTCATTGCGTGGAGCTCCCCATCTGTGCATTTCATGTTTTCTGTCATGCCATAGCGAGCGTCTGTTCATGAGCGTATGACTAGTAGCCTCAGAGTGAGCTTTGAGTACGATTGAACATGAGCCTCCAATTCCGTCCCCCTCCTCAGCTGCCAGGCCGTGCCCTCCTCAGCCGGTGGTCATGCGCATATGTTTAAAGATAGTTGGCAGTGGGATATGTAAAACGAGCGTTTAGCCACACAAGGCCCTATGTGCATATCATGTTGTAGGATAGTGCCACGGCGAGCACTTGTCCATGATAGTTGTTTGCTCCACGAGCGCGTCCATGTGAGCGGCGAGCACACGTGCGCGCAGCGCGGCTGCACATCCACCACGCGCGCGCATTCATTAACATGCATATGCCCGCGCATCCTCTTCTTCGTCAAGGTAAAGAATTCCTTCGGCGCCGCGTCCGAAGCACCAGGGGGTGCACGAATGCCAAGTGTTTTCGACGGCACCTCGCGACCTGCACCTCAGCTGTAACCGTCCGCGCTTCGCATCGGGCCTAGCTGGCAACGCAAACAGACATCGCATGTACATGAGGTGCCAAACACAAGTGCTACACATGGCACTCTCGCGGTTTGCGCCTCGGCTTTGGCCGTCCGCACTTGGCATCGGGCCTAGCTGGCAACGGACAAGAAGGCCTTCTGCACTTGGCATCGGGGCGAAGGGCCAGAGGCACGACGCGAATCACTACGTCTGTGACCTCATATCTGCCAG